ATAAGAATCTCATGGATTTTCCTGCCTGGGCTGGCTTTGAACCACAATCCTCCGGTCTCAGGCTCCTGAGTAGCTAGCCCAGCTTCAAAGTTGATTTTGAAGGTGCCCAAGAAGTGGTGAGGACGGAGTGGAGCGGGAGCCTTGTCTGCCACCCGTGGTGTCCTGCTCACCCCCTCCCGCCCACGGGGGGCTGGGTGGTACCCCGTGTCAGCCTCCATCCTCAGGGGTGTGGGACGCTGAGGCTGGGGTTCATGCAGGGTGCGGGCTCTGAGAGGGATGCTGTGCTCTGTGGGCCACCAGGGGCCGCCCGTGTCCACAGACCCCACAGCCTCTGCTCAGAGCCCAGTGCTTGAGAAGCTGGGGACAGCCGCTGTGTCGGAGACCCCCGACCCTGGCATGATTAATCCGGAAACAAACAGGAAACATAGCTTCCTTTGGAGGCCCAGCCGGGGTCCCTCTGGGAGCAGAGGTGGATTTGGGGAAGGGCTGGTCCGGTGGACGGACTGGCTCAAAGCCTTGTTGGTACCTGGGCCTCCGCTAGAGCCCCCTAAAAGTCGCTCAGACTGGAGGCAGTGTGGAGCTGCGGCTGGGCTGGGAGGAAGATGCCGTCGCGTGTGGTGGCAGAGTGGGGAAGGAAGCTGGCTGCCCGGGGCTCACGCCTGTCATCCCAGCTGCTCAGGAGGCTGAGACCTGAGGATCCTGGTTCAAAGCCAGCCCGGGCAGCAAAGTTGTGGGGCTTGAACTCTGGGCCTGGGCACTGTCCCTGTGCTCTTCAGCTCAAGGCGAGGGATCTACCACGTGAGCCACAGCACCACTGCCAGTTTTCTGAGTGGTTTATTGGAGATGAGTCTCACTGTCATTCCTGCTTCTGCTGGTTTTGAACCACGATCCTCAGATCTCAGCCTCCTGAGTAGCTAGAATTACAGGTGTGAGCCACTGGGGCCAGGCTTTTCCAAGTGGTAGAACTTTGAATGAGAAAGCTCACAGACAACACCCAGGCCCTAAGTTCAAGCCCCAGGACTGGCACAAAAAGAGGGAGGGAGAGGAGGGAAAGGAAGAGAAGACAAGTCTGGGGCCTCTGAACTCCAAGGTCATTGAGGGCGTTCAGAGCAGGTGAGGGCTCAGGTGACCTGGAGAGTGGGCTTGGTGGCCTTCCCAGCCCCAGATTGGGGACACAGCCCCCCGCCTCAGCAGCAGGCCCCACCGGTCCTCCGCTGTCTGCCCCGGCCTGGCCTGGGCTCCTCTCGCTCTGGGTGGCACTCTGAGCAGCTCTGTGTCTCCCTCCCTGTGTGCAGTGTTGGCTGGCCTGCTCCTCGGTGGCAGTCCAGAGCCGGTCCAGAGCCGTGCTGGATGGAGGGGGCGGGCTGGGGCACAGCAGGGAGCGTCTGCCTCCCCCCAGCACAGGGTGCTCCCCAGGGCGTCTCTGCCCTTGCTCCCCAAACGACAAATCCCTGTCCCACTTCTCTGTCACCAGGAAAGCAGGCTGACTCACTGTGCACAGGGCTTGAGTGCAGCCCCACAGCTCCTTAGGAAGGGCGAATGGCAGCCAAGGCGCCTCCGTGGATGTGACCCGGGAACAGGTGGGGGTGGGGCCCACACGCCTTGTACTCAGACACTGACTTAAAACACACAACAACAGTAACAAAGAACCTCCCCCCTTCTTTTTTTGCCAGTCCTGGGGCTTGAACTCAAGGCCTGAGCACTGTTCCTGAACCTTTTGCTCAAGGCTAGCGCTCTACTACTTGGCCACAGCACCACTTCTGCCTTTTTCTGTGTATGTGGTGCTGAGGACTCGAACCCAGGGCTTCGTGTGTGCTAGGCAGGCGCTCTACGGCTGAGCCACCTTCCCAGTCCTTTCCTTTTTTTTTTTTAAAGAAAGCATTTTATTATCATAAAGGCAATGGACGGAGGGTTACATCTGCGTGTCAGACGAAGAGTACTTTTCTTTGCGGACAATGGGACCCTTTCCTGGCTCTCTCCCCAAAGGACCTTCTTGAAGAGGCAGCGAGACCAGCGGGTCCTGTCTGGAAACCAGACGTAAATCCGTCATGTTCCCACCCATGTGAGGGTTGGACGCCCCGTTGTCTTCTTCCAGGGCCCCGGCTGTTTCCTCAGGACTGACCCCTCCCTGTGGGTAAACAGCTCAGCAGAATGGATTGCTTCCCTCAGACAGGACAGGGAGTTGAAGGCCAACTGTGGATCCCCTCAGCTTCCTGTGGGTTGACAAAGTGCTGTCAGGAAAATACCAGGGGCCGTCAGGCTGATGGGCCCATCCTGCCCTGGAGCCCGAGGGCCCCTGTCCCCAGGGCCTGTCCTTGGGGGGCCCTGGGGGGGCCTGTCCAGCAGACCCTCCCACACTGGTGACAGCCATTACCAACTGGCCTGTGTGACCAGTTTGCGTATCAATAGCCACATGCTTAGAGTAATAGTTTCACTTAGTTTATTTAAGCACTTCAAACACCATCCATTCCAATAACTAACTCTAGGCCTGATCCTACTGAGAGTGCCCTCCCCTCCCTCCCTTGGTCCTGAGGTTGAGGGGGTCGAGGGGTCCGCCAAGGGCGTCCTCCGGGGGGTGGGCTCCAGTGGAGGGTCAGTCTGACGTGCAGTCACCCGGCTTGGGGAGGTGGCCTGGCTGGGTCTCTGCTGCCCTGGGTGTTCATATGCTCATGTCTGGCCCTGTCTGATTACCAGGGTTATCATTGGTGACAGCTTCCCTCTGGTGGGTCTGGTGATCTCCGAGGGCTGGTTGTTTTGGTGCTGGTCAGCTTGGCAGGCTCGGGGTGGGGGGGCGTTGGGGGGTAGGGGGGAGGCTTCTTATCTCCCCATTCCATAATTCTAGCTTCTGACTTCTAACTCCTACTTTAACATTTCATATTATTATTTCATACACAGTACATTCAATGTATTTTTTTTCTTTTTTTTGGGGGGGTCCAGTCGTGGGGCCTGAACTCTGGGCCTGGCGCTGTCCCTCAGCTCTTCAGCTCAATGCTAGCGCTCTACCACTTGAGCCACAGCACCACTTCCAGCTTTTCTTCTTTTTGCTTATGTGGTGCTGAGGAATCGAACCCAGGGCCTCAGGCATTCAAGGCAAGTGCTCTACCACTGAGCCACCTTCCCAGCCCCAATGTATTTCTATTTAATAGCCTACCATAGCAATAACACACCACGTGAGTGTTCAGTAGCACACTATGCCAGTACACACCATGTTAGTATTCACACTCACCCCAGCCTTCACACACAAGCCCTTCTGTAGGGATTTGCTGGCTGCCCAGCAGGTGGAAGGCAGGTTCTGTGAAGGGTGCGTGGGGAAAGCTAGACAACCTGAAGTAGCCACTGTACCTATACCACTCGGACACAGGTTTCATTTGTGAAGACCTGACATCAGAGCTTCTGTTCCTTGAAACAAAACCTAGCTACAGCCTCAATGTCCGGCACAGCCATGTGAGCCGCCACAACGGCAATCAGGGGAGCTGGGAGGGGCGCTGCACCCTGAGGCCCTGAGAGCCAGATTCAGCCCTGCCAGGAGGGAGGGAGGAGGTGGGGGAAAACAGAGGAGGAAGAGGAAGAGGGGGATGAGGAGAAGAAGAACAGGAGGAGATTGCCGACACATCTCTGAGACTAACTATAGAACAAACCCAGAAAATCCACCCTCACCACAGTAACAGGTGTGAGGTTGCTAGCCAGGCCGGCCTGGTGTCTCACACCTGTGCTGCCCCCCAAGCACCTGGAGGATTGTGAGTTCAAGGCCGGTGTAGGCAGTGTGGTGAGGAAGCCGCGGGCCGGGCTGGCGTCTGGGGAGGGAGGGAGGCAGGCTGGGCGGAGGGGAGAAGCAGTGCCCGGGGCTCTGACCAAATGCCACGGGGGGGGGGATGGGGGGCAATCCCCAAGACCACCGTAGAAGAGCCACCCTCCTGTCCTGTGCAGTGGTCAGACATGGTGCGCCATGGAACCGCAGGTGGAGGCCGCCTGTGAGCAGCAACTCCTGCGGTCTTTGAGGAAGACAGCCCGGCCCACCCCGCCCTCCTTGAATCCCACCCCAAGGGTTATGGCCCCTCTGCACAGGAAGAAGTGAGGCTGTGAGAGGAAGTCGGGTCAGGCAGCTGGCAGGTGGCAGGGCCAGAGCCTGGGCACCTGGGTCACCAGCGCACGTGAGCCCTGCCCGGTGGGCGGGCGGGCGCCGGGGTCCCTGAGGGCCTGGCCAACCTGGAGTCATGGCTGGTTGGGCACTGGCCACAGCCCCCAACCCTCTTCCTCCACCAGCCTGCTGCCCGGGAAGGGTCCGGAACCAGGAATCGCCTGGTGGCTGCAAAGGCCAAAGGTCAGACAGGGCTTCCTGCCCCCCTGGGAACTTCCTCCTTCTGGGCCCTCCACGCCTGGCTGACCGCCCGAGGCCCCGCCAGGGGACGGTCCACCCCCTGCTCACCGCCCCCCAGGCCGGCAGCGCTGGGTCCCACCGTCTGGTGCGGCCTGCGTTCCCTGCCTCCTCCGGCCGGCTTGACCCTGACAGGCTGGGGTCTCGTGGTCCCCGGTGTGGCCGGCCGAACCTGGTCGGGCACCACCATCTCACAGGAAGCAGAGAATGCACCCGGAGTCTCCCCATGGAGCCGGGGACCCCACCCCCAGGGCCTTCTCCTGGAGATGGGGAGACCCAGCCCCCCGCATCTGCTGGTGTTGAACACTGACGGGCAGTGAGGCCGAGAGGCTCCACTTCTCATCCTGTGGAGGACGAGTCATGAGGCGGCGCCAGGCAGAGCCAGCTGGACGGAGCACACTCATGTGCCAGGGAGAGAAACTGAGGCAGCCCCAGCGAGGCCCTGGCCACTGAGGTGTCAGCAGGGTGTTCGCCATGGGGACAGGGGCGAGGTGGGGTCAGGTCCAGCCCATGCCCTCCCTTCCCCTCCCAGCCGGTGGGACGGAAGGAGGGGCCGGGCCGGGGCGGGGCGGGGGGGAGGGGGCGAGGCCGGGATTTAAGAAGCTGCGGCTGAGAGCCCGGACAACAGGCTGCTCTGCCGGGACTGCAGGCGGCGGCTCGGAGCTCGGGCTGCGGGCGGCGCTTTGGGGCTTGGGGAGCGGAGGCCGGGCAGGGCGGCATGGGGCTGGCGGCTGAGCGCCCCTTCGAGCCCCGCGGCTGCTGGTTCTACCTGCGCTACTTCTTCCTCTTTGCCTCGCTGACGCAGCTGCTGGTCATCCTGGGCCTGGTGCTCTTCATGGTGTACGGAAACCCGCACGCAGCCACCGAGGCCAACCTGCGGGCCACGCAGGCCCGGGCCGACGCGCTGTATGGGCAGGTGCAGGACCTGGGCGCCCTGCGCGCCAACCTCAGCCTGCAGCTCAACCTCACCGCCCAGGCCCGCGACGCCATCATGCAGCTGCTGCTGGGCGCCCGCCGCGACCTGGACCGCATCAACGCCAGCTTCCGCCAGTGCCAGGGCGAGGTGGTAAGGGCGTGGGCGCCGCACGCACACAGCACGCACATGCCAGTGCCAGGGCGAGGGGGTGAGGGCGCGGGCGTGGGTGCAGCACACACACACACACACACACACACACGCTGCAGAGCCCTGCCCCAGCTCCACTCTCCGCCGAGCCTTGTGCTCAAGCCTGTAATCCTGGCACTCAGACAAGAGGACTTGAAGTTGGAGGCCAGCGGGGCGGCCTCTGACTGCTGTCCCAAGGACAGTGTGGACAGTCTTCGTGGTGCAGATGCCGGCCTGGGAGGCCCATCCCTGGGCGGCCGGGCCTGGAGGAACCCAGGGCCTCCTGCCTCCCGTGCCCCACCCGCTTTCCCCAGGCGGGCGGCCGCTCAGGCCTTGCTGTCCCCGAGGCTGGCACAGTGGGGCTCTGGAGCCTTAGGTTTCCCACACACCCGAGCCTGGGCTCAGATACCAAGCCTTCAGGGTTTGATCTTCCATATTGATTTATTGGTGCTGGGGTGTGGGGCAGCCCTTCAGCCTCCGCCGCACTACGCGGGTCTGAAGCTGCAAAGCTGAAAATTCCGGCTCCATTTCTTTCCTCTGAGTTGATAAGAGGGATTGCTGTTGCTTAGAGGCTCAGGGTGCCCTGGGAGGTCTTGGGGTGCCCTGGGAGGCCTTGGGGTGTCCTGGAAGGCCTTGGGGTGTCCTTCAGAGACCCAAAGCTCTGTGGGGTGCAGTCACCCTCTCCCAGTATTAGGGAGAAACTTGGTCCCAACACCAAGACCTCCTGGAGATAAGAAAACTGGCTTTTCTACGTCTCCCTTCTGTCTCCCCCCTTCCCCCCCCCTCCGCCTTCTCCCTTTCTTACTTTGTGTGGTGATGGTGATACCGATGATGGTGGTGGTGGTGCTGATGGTGGTGGTGATGGTGATACCGATGGTGGTGGTAGTGGTGATGCCAATGGTGGTGGTGGTGATGCTGATGGTGGTGGTGATGGTGGTACCCATGGTGGTGGTGATGGTGGTGCTGATGGTGGTGGTGGTGGTGGTACCAATGGTGGTGGTGGTGGTGGTGCTGATGGTGGTGGTGGTGGTGCCGATGGTGGTGGTGGTGCCGATGGTGGTGGTGATGATGGTGATGGTGGTGGTGGTGGTGGTGGTG